GCTGGGAAATTCTTGAGTAGCTGCAGAATTAGCAGCTCCTCCAGAAGGGCTCAGATCCATGAGTAAGTAAGTAAGTAAGTAAGTAAGTAAGTAAGTAAGTACTAACTCAATCGAGCCAAGTCATTCTTGAGGAGCCACCAGTCACTCAGCTACTCAAGAATTTCCCAACATTTTATGGAACCCGAAGGTTCAATACTGTGTTCTTAAGAGCCTGTTACTGGTTCCTGTCCTGTGCCAGATGAATCCAGTCCATACCACCCCATGCTATTTCTGGAAAATCCATTTTAATATTGTTCTCCCACCTATGTCTAGGTCTTCCTAGTGGTATCATTCTGGCATGTCTTCTCTTCCATCTTATCGTCCTTGTCTTGATCATTCCAGTTATATTTTGCGTTTTTGTCATACATTCCATTTTACCTGTAGATGAGATCATCTGCGTTAGTACCGACTTTTCTTTCATGTAACTCAGAAATTTTCAGAGACTCTTATTGAATATGAGGAAGTAATAGAATTTGAAAGAGGGATAAAGTTTATATTTTAATGAACTTACTTCAAGGAACAGAATCTTACTTGAGAAGCTGAACATCATTCAGCTAGTCAAGAAATTTTTGCCATTTTTTATAACAGAATGTTAATTACCATACAAAAAGAGCCTGCCACTGGTTTCATCCAAAAAATCTGTCCAAGTCCAAGGCCCTCTGTAATATTTTCCAACATGCTAGTATTAGTCCCCTGTAGTGTGGTAAATATTCAAGCATTTTTCCTACTTGGCCAAGTCACCTTCTGTGTGCAAGCACATTGTTTTTAGCCATATGTAACATGCCATTTTATTAGGCTAAAGTACATGCATGTAATCAACAATGGGTACTCATTTGCTCTTAGAATTCTATATAACCCCCATTTAACTTTCAGATATGTGGTCCCCAAGGCAAACCTTAAATGGTGATTACACAAAATCTTTTACAGTTTAATGGGGTTTTATCACTGAGAAGTTGGCTCAAGTGGTAATTTTTCTTACTTGTATTCAGGAAGCACCTGACTGGAATCTTGGCCAGTGCAGCAACTATCTTCATTGAGGTTTTCCCTCCAGGCAAATTCCAGGATAGTACCTTAAAATGGGCTATAACTAGTTCCTTCCACATGTTTTCCAATTCATTATTTTTATCATTCATCAATATTCATTATTATCTTTTCATTTGATTCTGTACTATCTGAGTTATAGACAGTGTCATTTACTAAACTGGAAATAAATAAATAAATAAACAGGATCTTGTCCTTTTGCTTTCATAGTTATGATTGTATGAAATATGTGGAATATAAATAATGGTGCTGGAAATAAAATGTAAAGTTATTTAATAATTCATGAGGTTCATATTCACACAGGGATTTTATGAACATGAAAATCAGCATTAAGCAGTTATGGGTATCATGCAGATTTGTCAAAGTAATTCTTTTTCCTTTCATCTGCATGTAATGTAATAAACTGTTTAGTTTTGATCCATAATGATATGAAATTCACTAATTTTTTGCCTCTTCTGTTCTTTTTCAGGTGGTACACAAGTCCAGATGTTGTTAATGCATATTACAACCCTCAAACTAATTCGATAAGTAAGTGCTTATTATTGAATAGATAATATACATTATGTAAATACTGATAACAATGGTTGTACATTTTAAGGTGTACAAAATCTCAGGCTCAGTATGAATGTTTGTATACTTATTTTACTACCATTAACCATTGTGCTCATCACCAGAATCCCTTCAATTTGGGAGCAGTGCCATGGGCTAGTTTCCTGTGCTGACATAAGATGCTCAAATATCCTAAGAAGTGATTCCCTGGAAACTTGAAACAAATTTGTGATGGATTTAAGAATTATTTCATTATTAGGTGCTGTGGCTTTTTATTCTTTTGTATATCAAATAGTATTTTGTTTCAGAAGCTATATAAAGAAGTGTCCATGTTTTACTAATTTCAAACATTCATAAAATGGTTGTTTCTTTTTAGAATATTTATGGATATTTTTAGTAATTATGTTCTCTGTTGTAGCTTTTCCAGCTGGAATTTTACAACTGCCCTTCTTTAGTAAAGGGAGACCAGAGTAAGTTCATTTTATTACTTCATTATGAAAAAACAAATACAGTAATGTCTTACAGTGCTCCTGGTACTGAGTGCAATCAGTAAAGGGAAATACTGATGTACAGCTGAGTGTGTGTGACTTTTGAGACCATCACAGCAATGATTGTAAAGAATTTTTATTCAAGAAATTGATTTGATTCTTAATGCCTTGTTTTCGATTATTAGTTCACACATAACTATTTTTTCTTACATTTCAGGGCACTGAATTATGGGAGTATTGGTGTAGTGATTGGGCATGAAATCACACATGGATTTGATGATATGGGTAGGTGTAAATCCTTCTTTTCTTTTTGACAGTTATTTTTAAGTAGGTACACAATATTAACATTGAAAATAATGATTATTAAATATTCTGTTATAGTCTTTTTATGTTCTCCATAATTACATAAATCTCGGACTTATAAGTCACATTATAGAAATAACATACATGAATTACCTTATTATGTATAGTTTATAGAATTTAAGTGGTGTAAGTGTTCTAGAACATTTTTGAACTGCACACACATCTTGAAGTAGACTCCTCAGTATCATGCAAATAACAGTTGTACAAAACAATAAGATGTAATGCAATATATATGGCTGTTTCTAGGAACACTGTCCTTTTTTAAATTTACCAGAACGGTGAATCTGATTTCAATAAATCTGTGTACTTCAAGAGTATATAAGCGAATAATAACAATAATTTATAATTCTGATATTTCACAGGTCGTCAAAGTGACAAGTATGGCAATCTTGCTCAGTGGTGGTCAAAGTCAACCATTCACACATACCTTGAGAAGGCCCAGTGCTTCATAGAGCAGTATAGCATGTACAGAGTCCCAGAACTAGATGAACTGTTACATACTGAAGTGATGGTAAGTAAAATTTTATTCACTCCATTTTAATCATGATAATTTAAGGCATAATGCAAAACTTCCTGGAGCCTAGTTGCTTCTTTCATAGTAATGCACTACTTATGGTAGTATTACAGTAATATATTGAGTGACCATAGAGGGAACATGACAGGCGTTTTAAGTGCATTGGGCACTGACTATCTACTTAAAAAGTACTTCATGACATGTTATTGTCAAATGGTAACACAGATTTGCCATATTTTATAAAATCTGATAGAATTGACCCATTACTGCCTTCAGGCATTCCTCACAATACATAAGTTTTGTAATATATTCTGAAGTTCTGATGGAATAATTCACTGCAAACTTGCAGCATACCATAGAACTGCTTTTACACTGTTTAATGACACTTGCTGAAGAGCATGAGGATTTTATTTGCTCCATACTCATATATTTTGCTTATTCACATGACTATTAATACATAGGTAAGTCAATAAGTAAGTTACAAATGGATATAGAACTTAAACAAATAAGAATACAGATTTGAAAAATGCTTTTATTTCTCAACATAATCTCCCTCTACACTGAGGCACTTGTCCCATCATTTCACAAGCCCCTGTAAACCAGTAGCAGGAAATTCTTTGGGCTGCTGTCGGAACCAGGCGGTGACTTCCCTTTCTACAGCATCACTTTCCTGGGAGATGGTGTCACCTTAAACTTTTTTTTTTTTGGCAGGCGACGCAGGATGTTTCCACTGCATTGATGCACCCTTTGTCTCGGGCTGATAATGATGAACCCAAGACTCATCACCTGTGACAATTCAGGCTAGCATGTCGTGTCCTTCATCGTGGTAGCAATTGAGATGCTGTAAGGCCAGACCCATTCTTTGCATTTTGTGTTGTGGGGTCAGCCTGCTCGGCACCCATCATGCACAGACTTTGTGAAAACCTAAATTGTCATGCATTATGAGGTAGGCCACGCTGTGTGAACACCCCTGGTTCTGACAGCAGCCCAAAGAATTTTATGCTGTTGGTTTTCAGGGGCTTGTGAAACGATGGGACAAGTGCCTCAATGTACAAGGAGATTATGTTGAGAAATAAAAGCATTTTTCAAATCAGTACTCTTATTTCTTTAAGTTCTATATCCATTTGTAACTTAGTTATTGACTTACCCTTGTATAAGGCCTAATCAGTTATGAATAGCAGCTGTGGACCCATGATTGTGTTGTGGATATTTTACAGCAACCAGGCGCAAAAGTGAGTTCATTGTGCCTAATCTGGTTGCATAATTTCGTTCACACATGTTACTTTATGCAGGCAAAATGTAAGCAGTCTTGTGACTATAGTAGACACTGGTCCTATAAAAACTCCAGTTTCTTGTGTCAGGGGTCTTAATAATTTGTGAGTGCTGATCTCTTGTTGCCTATATTTATGAAAATTCCAAACACATTTTCTGTACATTTTCTTTCTTGTGAAGGATTCAACTGTGACAACCACCTCATTGCAATAGTGATGACTTCACACTTCAAGATGTGAAACTGTGAGGAAGCAGACCTTTCACATGCTACTATATTGATCACTTTCACGTTTTTTCACTGCACAGATGCATCATCAACATACCAGGAAGTTGCACAGTGATTGAATGCAAACCTGTATGTTCTGTATACAGTGTTGTTGACCTTAATTACATTATTGTTGTTGTGAATATGAAAAATATACAGATACCGAGTGAAGAAAATTGTACTGCCATTACACATCATAAAGGCAATTGTATGGTGTACTCTAAGAGCATGGTGAATTATTCTTTTCAGAACTCCAGGATGTCTTTGCAATATTCTGTGATATGAGGCATACTTGAAGGTAGAATGGGATGAATTCTAGCAGTTTTTATAAAAGAGTGTGTAACCCTTTTACAGTAATCAGTACCAATATAGCACTGAAGCAGAGGGAGTCAGCACACAATACACTGAAAACCCTTGTGCTGTTCCCTCCACAGTCACTCAATTATTGCCACACTGTTACAAGCAGCACATTTCCACCCAAATTGAATGTTTGGTAGAAATTTTCTAAAGCATCTGTGTTGTGACCATTACTACAATTAATAATTTCTCCATGATATGTTCATCCTCCAACCTTTAATCCATATTTTACCTACATCAGTATATATCACAACAGACCATGACATCATTCACTCCCATCACATCTGTGTTATGTCTGTAAACCAAGACATGTCTCTGTTCTCTGGCCATGTAAAATCCAAGTTGCACCATTATTAGACATTTAATTTAAATTTCCTTAATGTCAAAACACCAAGTTCTACTCCCATATATCGACATCAATAATTCTCCAAAATATTATATGGACTAAGCAGCCAAGTGAATTGATTTATTCATTCGTTCATGGAGCTGAGACCTTCTTGAGAAGCTGCCAATTGTGTGGCTACTCTAATTTTTATGTTTTTAGACAGCGGAGAGAAGACAAAAGGTTCTGGACTGAACGATAACAAGTATTACCCGAATTCAGTCTTTTCTTAATATCCTCCTGAATCAGGTTTTGATTTGTTATAGTTGTTCCCAAATATCTGAACTGTGCCAAATTTTCAAAACATCTGTTACCTATCTTTATCAGCTAAGCTAAGCCAGCTAAGTGAAAACTGAACCATAAATTCTAGATTCTAAGTATGTGATTCAGAATGTACCATTACAGATGAATGGGGTTACTACACAAGGTGAAAATATGGCAGATAATGGTGGTATGAGGCAAGCATTTCTAGCTTATAAGAAATATGTGGAACACAATGGACCTGACTTACGCCTGCCAGGCTTACATCAGTTCTCACCTGAGCAGCTGTTTTTCCTTGGATTTGCAACTGTAAGTCCTGTGATGCATGAATTGACTAAAAGCTGTAGGATAGGGAGGACCATTGAAAGATGCAAGGTATGGGGAAAATAAATCTGTTGGGGCTTTCTTACTAGTGTTTCATAACAATAGAAAGTGTAAAGCAAAAGGTGTCCTTATGCTTAAGTAAACACCACACCATGAATATGTGTGAAGTGGGAGCTCCATGCATTCTTTATCTTGGCAACAGATGGAGGTAAGTGGTCAGCTTTATGCCCCAGCCACTATGCCCCTGGAGAAAGAACCCACAGTGTTCCTTGGACAGAAGGCAGAGAAAGAATGAAAATTATGGCTTTTAGAGCGGCACAACCAATTAGAAAAGAAATTGTCGTTAAATATTCGTACCAATGAAAAAGAAATCATGCCATCACATATCAAAAGACCATAATCTCAAGCCATTAAAGAATGATTGATCATAAATATAATGGTGATTATGGAACTGAGAATAACATATATCAATAGAAGTGGCTAGTACTTTGGAAAGAATGCCTGAAAATCAAATCTAAGACCTGCTCTATCAATAAAAAACTGAAAAGAACAGTTCTAGTTCTTGTAATTGGAATAGGCGAAGCAGTTAATTGATGATGATGATGAGGAGGAGGAGGAGGAAGATGAATGGTAGCTTACACCTTTTCTTCTTTTCCACATTTTTTCTCAAGTTTAACCTTGTGTTCTCTTTCTTCATATTTGAAATGTTTGTGTTATATTATCTCAAGGCCACCTAGTTATAATTACATTTTCTCAGTTAATGTAGGCAAGTTTTTATATGAAAATAGAGATAGCTTTTACAAGAATTTTAAGTTGGGTTAGTTACATTTTTCTGGAAAAGTGAGGTAATAAGATTCTTTTATGGGACTTGGACATACATTACCACTGTACCTTTTCATTTGTTAATTTATTGTCTCTGTTAGGTGTGGTGTGAATCGGCTACAAAGGAGTCCCTGCTCCAAGAAGTTCTCTCAGATCCCCACAGTCCACAGAGACTTCGAGTGCAAGGAACTCTGGCTAATTCTCAAGAATTTGCTCATGCCTGGGATTGTCCTGTTGGGTCACCAATGAATCCTAGAGATAAATGCTTGATCTGGTAGTAATTACTATGTAAGTAGATGGGAGTCGGGTATAAACTTTGTTATTATGATACTGGTAATGTGGTTAGAGCATTGTACTGTGTCCCATTGTATGAAAGAGACAGGAAACAGTTTTCAACTGTAATCCAGAAGCAGGTTTCATTAAGATCACTATTAAATTAAATATAACTTTTATACAGTTAAATAAAAAAGGGACCCCCAGTTTTTCATTATTCTGGTCATGCTTATATTCTCATGAAAATGGCTGTTCCTCCTCTGACTAGAAAGGTAGTAGGACTTTGATCTCTACGAGAGCTTTTTTCATTGACATTTTATGGACTAGCATAAAAAGAAATTCATGTCAAACATACTGTTTTCTAGTATAGATACTCCTTGGTAATGATGTAAATTATTTTAACTTGCTTACAGACTAAACAAATATTTAGCATGCATGTACACAGTAGTGTAAAAAGGGCATTTAAATTTACTAGTCTGATAGCATCAGGATACAGTGAATAAAATATAAACATTTTGCAGCTCAGGTATTTAATTCCAAAAGGATTTAACCAATATGAAATAAGATGGACATGCATGAATTATTTCACAACTGTTGTTAATGCCCATTTTTCTGTAACATTTTATCCAAACCCATTTCGATTAGTTCTGTACTACACAGTGAAACTGCCCAAATGTCATACTTCATGAAAATCAGAATTTTGAAACATCAGATAAGATTCCTCATCCCCTTTTACTCACTCTCTAGTTTGGATTTCTGAAGGAGTGTTAACAACAGACTTCTTACCCCCTGAGTCAGTCACTCCAGGTCCATCTACTGCTTCCCACCAGGGACCACCTGCACAAGCCCCAAAAGATCCCTTTTTTCTACAGAATTACCCTACTTTGAGCACATTCTCCAACCTAAATCTGTCAACACAACAGTTCTTAATGCACAGTTGATAACTGAATAGTGTGATAACGTAAAATTTTAAAAAAATTACAATCTATAAAGTGCGTAATGTTTACCGAATTTGACCCCCAAATAATGATGATGATGGTGATTCAAATCAATTCCGTTCTTATTTATTTACATGCACACTTAACAGCCCACATGATGATGATGATGATAATAACAAAGTCAAATGTACAATCAGTTCCAGTAAGGAGGTTTGAGGTTCTCATGGCAGTGAGTGTTAAGATTATGGTTTTCTAGATTGTCACTCCATGTAGTTTGGTAAGTACATACCAATGTACCAACCTGCTGCCTCCATCTTCATGGTGAAGTGGAGGCAGCAGATTCCTCAAAAAAAACTGCCAACCAGACTACACAGTGTCATATCCCAGAAGATAGTAATCTTGAATTCATAGAAATTCACTGTCCTGTAGCTCAAACTGCATTTTCCTTGCCTCTGCAGAGATCTTGTGATCAATATTTTCATAACTTATAAAGGAATTGGTGGAAATATGGTGCAGAAATAGTTATATAGGAATGTTTAAAAAACTGCAGTATGAGATAGTATTTATTTCTGTATGGGCAATGATCCATAGATAAATCACATCAGTTTGCTTGAGTCACCACAGACAACAGTGTGCTTCATTGCTGGATTTGACATTCCCACAGCAGTAACTATGAAGGGTACTATCTTCTGGGATGTGACGGACCACCAAAACTATGGTGGACTTCTACCACGACTACACTGTATTATGTCCCAGAAGATAGTACTCTTCTGCCTTGCCTATTGTTTGTATAGATTTAATATGTAAAAGTACAATATTTAATGACTTTTATGCCCTTTCCATGGCTCCCCATGACCTGTACATAACCTAAATTAATTGTTATTTGCCAGCATTTGGCTTTATACCGACAATGACCAGAAAAAAAAACTTCTGATGCATACTCACTCATGGAGCTGAGCCCTTCTTGGGAAGTTGCCAATTGTGCTACTCAAGAATTTTCCAGCACTTTATGGAACCTGAAAGTTCATTACCATGTTCACAAGAGCCCTTCTCTGGTCCATATCCTGAGCCAGATCCATCCAATCCATACCATTCTACCCTATCTCTCTAAGATCCATTCTAATATTGTTCACCCACCTATGCCTTGGTCTTCCCAGTGGTCTCTTTCCTTCTGGCTTTCCCACCAATATCCTATATGCAGTCCTCTTTTCCCCCATTCATGCTACATGCCCCACCCACCTCATCCTCCTTGACTTGATCATTCTAATTATACTTTGAGAAGAGCAAAAGTTATGAAACTCCTCATTATATAGTTTTCTCCAACCTCCTGTCACTTCATCTCTTTTCGGTCCAAATATTCTCAACACCCTCAGTCTATGTTCCTCTCTTAATGTCAGAGACCAAGTTTCACACCCAATTCTGAGGCTTCAGTTAAAAAAGAAAATATATATACAGTATAGGAAGAAACACTCTGAGGAAATGTTACCTGCCCTTGAGGGTATTCATTGAGGCATCCCCATATTTCTCTCTATACAAGTCTCAAGAATGTTTTTACTATAAATTAGAAGAAACTATCACATGATATAGTATCTCTTCTGAGGCTCTGGTTACACTAAAATAAGAATATTGTGATGTGTAGATATGTTAAATAAAGAGCAGATCATGTTGAGTTTATAGATCTTGGAAGAGTCACATGCTCATACACTGACGAACGATCGTCATATTAGGAACAAATTATACATCTCTACCTCTTTCAGTGGTTCTCAGTCAAAAATGTATAAAATTAGTTATGAATTTCTGAAATTACAAGTACAAAGTACCCATTGTGTGGGAATGTTGAATGAGACTCTAGCCAGGTAATGGTGGTTCACACTTGGCAGTAACTTATCCATAACAGTTTTCAGCCACCTTTGCCATTTTATTTCCATTTGTCATCACAAATACAGGGTGCAGAAGAATACATCAGACGATTTAAATTTGCGAAATGGGTAATTTATTTTCAGTTACTGTACAAAAAACAGATTTGTGAAGTCTGTAAAAAAGCATGCCAGTCAGGTGAGCTCAGCAGTAACTGCATGTCCATTCTCGTCTTCAAAAAAGTATGTTCCTAAAATGCCAAATGAACTGAGTCCACACCATACTGTGAACTTCTGCCTATGAAAAAATGATTGATACAGTAAGCGTGGGTTTTCTTCTGTTTGGTAACTGAAATTCCGCTTATTTACATACCCGCTTAGATGAAAATGGGCTTCATCTGATGTTATCAAGTTCTGAAGGAATTGCAGTATATGTCCCATTATTTCTGGTAACTCGGTGCAAAAATCCTTTCACGTATTCAAATCACGAGGCAGTAATTCTTGCACCATTTGAATTTTGAATGGATGAAAATGTAACTCCATGTGCAAAATTCTCCTATTTGACATGCCTAGTGCTACAGAATGTTGTCTAGCAGAGCATCATGGACTCTGCTGTCTGCCACTTGCACCCTCTCCACATTTTCTGGGTTGCACACTAATCGTGGACAGCCAGCATTCTTCTTTGACAAGGCAGAAGCAGTTAACCTAAACAGGCTCACCTAATTTAAAATGGCTTGACGTTTCAGAACCTTGCCATTTCTTCCAATGTTAAAGTGCTTCCTAAATTCACATTGTCCGAGTAGCTGAATCATTATTTTTAAAAAAGCTCTCCACAGCAAATGCACAATGCTCACATGACCAATGCTCCATGGCACCTAATAGGCTTTGAACTGCTCTTGATGCAGCGACAACAATCAGTGTGCTATCGATCAGCATATGCATTTGGCGCCAATTTCAACTCATCTAATCAATTCTGCTGCACCCTGTATATAATTAATATGTGTTCGTATATTTTGGCTTTGCAGTTGCATGTGCTACTGGTCTCTGAAAATGGTGGTTCAGTGCAGATTTGAAGTGTTACTCCAGCTGCTGCAGCAGCAGGTCACTTACATGCCCACACAAGGAGTTTTAAAAGAGGAAGCACTGACAAGACACCAGCACTTCCCAGTCTCAAATGATACAGGGTATGAGTAGTGGACCATAAATGTTCAGAGATGGGAAGAGAGACAGCACTTTATTTACAAATTATGGGCCCAGAACAGGTCCTGGATAAAAATAGACATTTTAATACCTGCTTCAAAAATGAAACAAGGTTCTCTTAGAAAGCCTGGTTTTCTTAATTTACCGAATATATGTGATGGCACTAGTAACAGTGTGTAACTGTGCCATTACATATATTCATTTTCTCCCATTTCCAAAGAGAGCTGCTTCTGGATGAAGCATGTGCATCGGCTTCATGACTACATTCTTTGGCAAAATGTGGGGTGGGGATCAGCAGTTCAGCTAACTTCATTCTTGTGACAGAGACTTTTGACGGTTACTGTCTTCTGAGATGTGTTGCCATGCAGAATGGCAGATGTTTACTGGCATATCAGAGGAGTGTGCTGCCTTCATCTTCTAGATACTCTTCTATCATGAAGATGGAGGCAGTACATCCATCTGAAACAGTGATAAACATTTTCCAGATTACATCACATCCCAGAAGTAATCCCAGTAACCATCAGCTTCATCCTGTTTCAAAGTACCCTTATTCCATTTTGACCGAGTCGTTCGTTTTATGCTGTCGGTAGCATGAGATTATAGGCTGACTGAAGAGGAAATGATTTGTAAGAAAGCAGCCATGGCCTAATCTGGGAACTATCCTGGCACTTGCTTGGATGGACTGAGGAAAACCATAACAGACCTCAATCAGGATAGCTAGTGTCTCAGCTAGGTTTCAAACAAAGTACCTCCTGAATACAAGCCTAGAGCATTACCTCTAGATCAACATGTCTGATGTCACAGTTCAGTTTATTCATATTACTTGCAGGAGACAAACAGGGTGATACTATAAGGGTGTTTTCTACAGATGTTATTCAAAGATGAACTTCACCCTGAATGCGACAGTATTTTTAATTTGTTTTCGTTCCCTACATTGTAGAAAGTGTTGTGAAATACACATCAGGTGTAAGAGAAAGAAGCAAGTCAAAATCATCTCTGTAGGAGGTTATTCTACAGAAATATTCCATAACAATTAACAGCTTTATCTAGGATGTGCATTCCTCTGGGCCCCTGAGCAGTGTCATTTCATCAAAAGTACAAGACTGCAAAACTAAAGACTAAAACATTGCAATATGTTCCCTGTTATCTCATTAAAATAAATCAAAGATTCGTTTCTTAAAACATCACCAAAATAAGATGTTAAATAAGTATCTGTACAAGTTACATTACATGTTGCTATACTATGTCCATCAAACATAAATACCATTAAAATATGGATAGAAATCACAAAGGGTCAACTTAACTACAAATGATACAACAATGGCATTACTGTATAGAACTATTAACACTCTTTAAGAATTATGTTCTTAAAAATAATTATATATGTCAGTCAAGAGACTTTTGTACATGATCATTTACTTAAGGGAAAAGTAAATAACAAAATATTTCTTTGTATCATAAATGTATCTTTAAATATGGAGGAAGTGGAGTAGAAGCTGTCATAGAAAAGGCTATTGCATAATTTCATTTCTCTTCATTTTGGGTATTAATCACATAACAAATAAACTGTTCACTTATTCACCACCCAATGCACATGTCAACTGTTCAATTTCACTCATGATTTCCCTTTTCCTAGCAACTTTATCTAGCTGATCTTTTTCAAGTTTCTGTTCACCTGCTGCAATTTTTTGCTCAATGGACTCAATTTCACGTAGCCTTTTGCGAAGATTCTTGATTCTTTTGGCAGGATCTGTCGGTGTTATGGCTATATTTGTTGACTGGGAAGCTGCATTTTTTGACTGAACAGTAGGTGATTTCGACTGACAAGCCTCTGATTTAATTTGAGAATTTGACTGTGATTTTGACCGAGAATTTGTAGTTTTCAGCTCAGAACTCAAGTGAGTTTTCGATAGGCTTTCACTTAATTTATCCTCACTAGTACCACTCTTCTTTTTCTTTTTCTTCTTACTTGATTTGCCTGAAATCAGTTAAACGTCCCTGTTATTTCAGATTCTTACAAGGACATGAATTCCAATGACACTGGTAACCAAGGATATAGAAATTATCCTACCAACTTCAGACAACGGTTTTCAGCACTGAAAATGAACTATATCAGAAGTTTTACTTTTTTTTTTAAGATTTTGAAACTATTCATTAAAGTAAACAGTATATCATCTATTTGATCAATGACTTCTCAGAAAATAAACTTCTCTTATAAAATCTGAGAGTACATACAAAAATACATACAAACAATGGAATACCATTTAAATTTTTGGTTCACAAACTATAAAAAACTGGTGTGGCCTTTAGTCTTCCACAGACCCCACAAAGCCTGCCATAAAGACACTCTTGTAATTAAATCAGCTAATTTACCACTATTTTGCACTTAATAACAGAAATAGTCTTGACCAGAAATAATGCTTATTTTGATATCATGGAGAAAGTAAACTGCAGATTTACCTGTAACTGCAGTTTTAAACAGTGCTATTTGAGAATTAAAATACAATTATCATGCATGACCTAGCAATCATGTTTCAGTTGACCAGTCTGTGGATTAACTGCTTCCATGATATGCTAAGAAAGCTAGTTTATTTCTATGAAATATGGTTATCTCATACAGAAAACTAGCATATCAAAGCCCAAAGTTAAAAATAGAGTAGGAATGAATCTCCTGTTCCCCCAAAATCAAGAAAGGAAAAAGATATTCTACATTTGCATATTACTTGACCATTATGTTTATTTCAGTAGCATAAAGCAACAGTATTCTGCTGAGTGCCAAACGGAAAGAAGTGAATACCTTCTGGTGTGGAAACTATGACTAGTCCTGGTATTGGGCTGTTTTTTGACGCCTCCCTATCGGCCTTCTCCTTCTTCGTTTTTGTAGCATTTACAACTTCAGGAGAGAATCCCACTGGATACTTAGGCTGATTTTTGGCAAATTGTTTGCCTTTACTTTCATATCTGAAACATAATCACTGGGATAGCTGTGCTGTATCTCTACAATAGGATGATCAGCTGCAGCTGGTAAGTTACATTTGACAAAGTCCAAACAGCTTCCATTGGGAGCAGTAACTGTAAATAAACAGATTACCCATGTCCACATTTGGCGGGACATGTCCGTATATGTAGGTCCTAACCGCTGTCTGAATTCTTTTCTTAAAGTGAGCTAACTATTTACACTTCTGTCTGACATGCAAAAACATAAGATTATTAGGAGCAGTTGGAACAAATTTTAAACTTATGCTATATTCAACCATGAAAAGATGTTTTGTAATTATATTTCATTGTTGTTGTTGTTGTTGTTGTTGTTATGACGATGAGCAGTTTAATGGTGGTGGTGATTTTTCAAACAGATTCTGCCCATTTGTCACCATGCATCTGCTGAGGAGCTATTTTCTTCTGCATTTTGTACATCCAGTGTTCTTGTGTACTCTGTTTCCAAAGTGGTTCTTTTGTTCTTATGAAACAGAGATGTGTGTTCTAAAGGATTCTGATGATGGTGGATGACACACAGAATTACCGGGTTTTTGGACTTTTTCTGGACGATGGAAAAAGTCCAAAAATTCTGAGATGTGTGTGTTGTGCTTCTTAATTAACATGTAAACCCAGCTATGAATAACTCAAAAATACTTAAAAAAAAAAAGAGCAGTTTAATGACAAGGCTGAGTGTTCAGTTTTTAAAGGAGAATTTACGTTTACTTCTAAAATAAAATAATATTTAAATAGGGATATGCAGTGATGAATGACACTGCTCAAGAAACACCAGTGTACCATATTATTGTATGTCGTAGCATGATCATGGGCTGTTTTTTTTTTCAGAATCAAGTTAAAAGTCATTCATGATTCCAGAATTAAGAAAAGAAAAATTGCTTCACTGAATCAGGGGCTTTTATCATTAATTTGACTGGATCCTCTATTAATGGTGCACTTAGTTCTGTGAATGATGTTTCATATTTCGGTGTCTGTACAGAAGGCTCAAATCACAAAAGCATCAAAATGCTACCAGGCACTGACATAAACAGGAATGCTTAAAGGTTTTTTGTACATTTGTTCATTACAACATCACATTCTTTGACCCTGAAGATGGAGGCAACATGTTCCTCCAAAACATCAGTTAACTTTGAACAGACTAACACAGTGTTATATCCCAGAAGATGAAATCTTTGTCACAAGATCCCTCCTCCATTCATGATTTTATGACTATTTAAATATGATTCTGGAACATTATTTTCATGGGTTTGTTCTCGGATGCCACTATGCCTCTGCAGTAGAATTTAACCTATTGTTTTAAGTTGACTCTACTTGTTCTATTAAATGTAAAAAAAAAATCAGATTTATTTTTAGTACCATCATGCAATGTAAAAGTTGAATATTTCTCTGGTGAATGAAAGTAAACTGAATTTTTAAGTTTGGTGTCCTGCTTTTAACTGTAGCATTGCTGGTAACCCTAAATAAAAGTCAGGTATGTGGTCACTATTATGTTGTTCCCACTGCTCTATAAATATTTTCATTTACGTTAATGAAAAAATCCTTGAAAGATAATTAACCTACCAAGCAATGCAATGTGTTTGATCAGGCTTTACTGAAAGATGTGCATTCCCAGTTACAGATATTTCAGCAGCCATCTATTAAATACTCTGAGCTGTGTTACTGCTCAGAAATTCATTTGATTCATTTGAGTATTGTTAACAGGATAAAAGCAAAAATTCTTACAGTGGAACTTCTTCCTGGGGGATGTAACCGTCTCTTACTCTCCTTGGTTTTCTCCATGTACCATCTGGTCTCTGGCTGGCAGCAATAAATGTGGTACCTTCAAATATTTAATGATTTATAAATAATCAGATTATACAGTTTCATATGCTCAGGTCCCATGAGTCTCAGTGAATAATTAATTTTTTTAACATGAAGCGATGATACAAATGGCATGCTGATTTCGTATCCATCCCCACCCTTTCCACCACTTGCTATATTTGGCATAAGCCTGGAAACGGCATGGGACAATAAATTTAATTGTACTTTTACAATTTAAGGTGTTAATACATACGGTTCATATTTTATCGCAAGTACATAGCATAAATAGCATATCTATCATAATTCATTATGTACGTTCCACCCTCTTATAACTTGCTTTGATAACAGTACCTTGTTCGTCTTTAACATAACTAGACGCCGACGCCATTTTAATGCCTACACAAACTGCTGCTCTCTATGAATTGACATGCTACTCAGTGCTCCTAAAATGATTAGAGAAAACGCCACTAGATGACACTGAGAGTAGGACACACCAGTCTTAAAGCAAGCCAGACAGATTCAACATCTCAACATTGTTTCCACGGCCGAGTGCGACTGTAGTGATGGGCTGCAAACAGAGGAACATATGAGGAAAGCCTCAAATCTTACAGAGGAACATATCTTCTGGAACTGTAAACTGTAGGAGAACCAACGGGCAACAATGATGGACATTTTGTCTGAGAACAGCAAAAAAGAATACACAAAGTCAGTTATAGAACTCTTAAGGCTGGAAGAAAAAAGATTTCTGCAAGGCGTCTGTTACTTCATAAATAACATTCCTATATTTATATAAAATAGATACGTAAAAAAAAGTAAAAGAAGTAATTGTACTGATTATTAACAGTATACTCTCAAATTTAAGTCAAGGTCTATATTAAGAATCGCGGGGTTACCGCTACTATAGAATAAGATATTTACAAGAATGTGCTACAAAAGGCCGGATGGGCATTGCCTAGGCCTTTTTTTATTTACAATATTTTTTCTACAATAAAAAAATAATTACCTGTCTATAGAAGGCCGGATGGGCATTGCCTAGGCCTTTTTTTGTATTTACAATATTTTTTCTACAATAAAAAAATAATTACTTGTCAGTTTCAAGTAACAAATCAAATAAAATTCAGTAGAAAACAAAAATTAATTATTTTATTCTGACATCGCCCTATGTCTTCTCAATCTGCTCCTACTATTCGTTGCTTCGTTACCGCTCTCAGCTATGGCTACACCACTAGTTGTTTCCTGGTAAAGAATCTTAATAATCAAACTTGGCCAGCTTCTGTATTCACGTCCTTGCTCTTCGAGTTCCAGATTTTTTTTTATTCTGGGAATACAAAAATACAACAAGGCCTAGATAATGCCCATCCGGCCTTCTGTAGCACATTCTTCTATTACAGCGGTCTCCCGTGATTCTAAAATTAAGGTCTATATCGCGGGAAGAAGTTACTACTTTTGTTAGCCCGCGCCATAGCTAAAGCGATTAGTCACGGGCTTCCCACCACGGTGGCTCGGGTTCAATCCCGGGTCTGGTCAAGTGGGATTTGTGGTGGACAAAGTGGTGCTGGGACAGGTTTTCTCCGAGTACTTCGGTTTCCCCTGCCAATCTTCATTCCACCAAATTCTCCATCATCATAATCACCCGGGGCAGGTACAATAGGCCAATCAGTGACCGCCGTACCGAGTAGACCCAGTTGGACTCCACCCCCCACTAAGCGAATTAAAAAAAATAATACTTTTGTTGCAGCAGTACAATATTACAAATGTGGGAAATTTGTCCACATGAGTAAATTTTGTACGAAGGAAATAAATGATTCTTATGAAGAAGAGAAAAACGGGAAGGGTATTGTAATAAACAAGATGCCTGAATTGTAACGGTGACCACAGAGCAAATAGCGAACGATGCCCCGCAATTAAAAAACAGAAATAAATCAATGAAATCAATGCTCATAGAAATGTCGAATTTTTGAAAGCAAGGAAAATTATAGAAAAATGGTCACAACTCTGGTTGTCGAACCTTGCGTTCTCTTTGGGTGCTGAAAGTCCCAGAGGGTACGCGGAACCAAATATGAGGAACTTACTTCTTCGCAAAACGCCAAGAAATCGAAAGGAGTGGGGTAGTATTCAGAAAAGCGAAAACAGTACGTCATAAAGTCCCTGAGCCAACCGACTGGAGAGAGCAATGGAAGATGATCACGGATAATAGCAGGACTCAAATATCTGAACCGAGTCCAAACAAGACTGAGCATAGGAACAACTCTAAAGACCAGACAGTGTTAGAGAAATCTTTAAACGAGTTGGAAATCCATTCAGATGGAGGATCAAGTCAAGAACATATTGATGACGATAATCAATTTAGTGATGTACTCCGGGGATGCTAAAGCAAGGGTCAGACACCTGTGGAAAGCCGTCGAACTTCACGAAAAACATTACAATAAAATTCAACGGGTATCAACCAATTAAGACACTTCAATGGAACTGTAGGAGCCCAAGAAACAAGTTCCCCGAATTACAACAGAGGAGCCAAAACACAGATGTCATAATACTACCAGAGCAGGAAGTGTAAACGGTACGAGGACCAAAGAGCAACAGTGATGGACATTCTGTCAGAGAACAGCGAAAAAGAATACCCAAAGTCAGTTACAGAGCTCTTGAAGCTAGAAGAAAAAAGATTTCTGCAAGGCGTCTGTTACTTCATAAACAACATTCCTGTATTTATATAAAATAGATATATAAGAAAAGTAAAATAAGTAATTGTACTGATTATTAATATGATACTCTCAGATTTAAGTTAAGAATCGCTGGGAGACCGCTGAAATAGAATAAGATGTATGTATAAGAATGTGCTAAAGAAGGCCGGATAGGCATTGCCTAGGTCTTTTCTTATTTACAATAATGTTTTCCACAATAAATAATCTTGCAACGTGAAATGTTTACCGATGTGAGAATACACCTCTCAACCTCTCATCCGCGCCACACGCAAATCGTGTAACCAAGCAATCAATAAGTCCCTCCTCCAATGGTTACGGCTGCTGAACAGTAAATTGAAATTACAGGGAATACTATTCATGAATGTTTACAGTGGAGTAATGGAAAAAAAAGTAAAGTTGTCATCATGATTAACTAATTAAGCACTACGCAGTAAAGACGTATGGTGGAAGGGATGTATAGATCCACATATTCTTGACCTCGGCACTACTCGTAGTTCGAGGTGAGTTGTCAGCTTCACACCCCGGCCGCTTTACACCCGGGGAAAGAGCCCCACGTACCCATTGAATAACAGGCTGGGTGGACCACAGAGTCGGTCTCAACGAAGTGGAGAAGAGAAAATTCTTGACCCTACAGGGACTCAATCTCCGACTCCTCGGTTGTCCAGCCCGTAGCCAGTCGCTATACCGACTACGCTATCCCGGTGCATGTTTACAGTGGAAAGATATTAAGTATGTAAGCTTAAAAGAAAGATTCGTTTGGAGTATCATCGTCATTGGCAAAACACAACTTTCGGGGCCATAACCACCCTTCGAAGGTTCTGCCACACTTGTCTATTCTTGGCTAGGTCTCTCTAGTTTCTTTCCCCCACAGCTTTATCATAACTTTTTACTACATCTTCTCATCCCAGTTTAGGCCTTCCCGTTATGCTACGCAGTATTGACAACATGGTGGCCAGCCGGAAGGGTGACTTGGTTAAAAGGAAACACAAACAGAGTGGAAATCCGTGCACCAATACAGATAATTTCTGAAGGCTTTCTTTGCGATTCTACGAACCCCATTATCCTTGATGTTCATCATTTGTTACTAATGCATGTCTCTCAGCGGTATAAGTAAAATACTTTTCTTGTAATAATGTGGAATGTAGCGTCCTGTTGCACTGATTCGTATCCATAATGTACCATAATAATAATAATAATATTTACCGTCTTTTAGTGCATACAATTTCACTTGTCACTTCACACTACATGTTTCGGCATCATTCTGCCATCCTGAGGTGTATCAATTATGTTAAACCATTGCACTGCCTGCTATCAAGTGTCCATTTATAAAATGATATAAAATATGTGTTCGTCGTTGTTCAATAATAAAATTTATATATTAAAACTTGTTAAGAACTATCATCTTACATGTCGTATATCAAACTCGTGTGTAACGCCATTCATCCGCTATGGGAGTCGTTCTTCTTATGTTTTCTTTGTGTATGTATTGTGTCTTATGATATGTCTTTCTTATGTGGCTTGTAACACTTATTAAATACTGAACCTCACTGATAGTCCTATTATCTAATATTGTATAGGATATCTGTCTGCATTATACTAACTCCTTTATTTTACCTACTTATTTTAGTTAATTTGCTATGACCTATCTCTTTTCTTATGATTCTGATAATTCTACCCAAACAAATTTTAAATATAGTATAACTGTTAGTATTTTTATTATTTGCGTGTCCAGTAAAACAAAATGAATTACGTATATTATTATTATCCTCTGAAAATCTATACTATTCATTTCTTAATTAAATATTTATGTTTCATTCCTCAATTCGTAATAGCACTTAGTTTTTACTTTTATTCATTATTATTTCTTCCAAGTACTTACCTGTAATTTGTATTTGACTTTTAACAAGTTTGTCTAAAATGTAATTCATTCATCTGCACTGTGCTGTGTCTGTAATTGGCCTTGCGGCTGTTGACTCGGCACATTAATAATAAAGAACCTAACGTAACCTAACGTAACCTAACCTAACCTAACCTAACCTAACAATCTGGAATATATTATCTCACATTCATTTACGTTACCTTTTCAACAAAACTTGCTCAAGTCATTAAAATCAATTAGTGTCTAAATAAGTTCAGCTACAAAAAAAGTTAACATTATCGATCAGTTATATTACATCATGGATGAAGTCGTACTTTTATAAAGCTATTCGCGAAGTAAATGAAAATCATAGAGAAACAGTTAAACATAAATATTTCACAGGAAGGCCGGGGCCAAACATCAGGCGGTTAGGCGCAAGCTTCCTCGGAACTTCGGGGGCGTAGATTCATGTGAGATTCGTAGAGACTGGAGCAGAATTTCCTCCAAATATTTTTTGTTCCATCTTGCTAACTTTCATTCCAACATTGTTCCATATTCGTCTTGCATCGTTCATGATATTTTCTGTATCCCTGATCAGGCAGAACGTTCTTAAGACTGGTGCCACATCTCTGACCCTCTGTTTCACTGGGAAGTGAGGTTTGTTTACAAGTTGGACAAACAAAATTAGAGTCTCTCGAATGTTCAGAATGTCAGTGATGTGGTGATATGAATTTTAAAAGGTTCATGTTGTGGCTGAGAATAAAGTAAAGGATTTTATTTAAGATTTAGAAGAATCCTTAAAAATAAGCGTCAGCTAAAATCACAACATAGTACAATCATCTCAGCCACTGTCCATATTTAGAGTCACAAACTGTAATCTTACAGAGTTCTTGGCT